CCTTGGAGATGCCTGTGTAAAGATAACAGCACCTGGCATATTTTCCCCCCCTTCCTTCTAACTTCAATGGCAGGTCAAGCAAGCAGTTTGCAATAAGCATTTTACTATTAACCATTTAATATACATTGTGAAAACTAAATTAAAAGCAATCGAAGGTTCTAGCTTGCGCAGATCCTGACATTCACATATGGAGCAAAAAGAACAAGGCAGAACTTAGATTGCCCATCTCCTTCATTTAATACTTGGTTTGGATAGGCTCCTGAATCAATGTGAATAACAAGGTTGCCCAAGGTTCAGGATGAATTAAGATGAAAAATTGTCCCTCTGCCCAAAAGAAAGTCTCCCCCAACTTGGTAACCTCCAGGTAGGTTCGTCTTCATCTCACATAATCCCTAGCTACCAAGGCCACATCTTTAGAGTACCAGGTTGGGGTTGCTGCTTAATGAGAAAGAAGATAAAAACACCATTGTTCTAAATTACTTTTCCCATGGAACAAGATTAATTATTTTTTATAATCAAAGAGACGTTTTCTGTTATATTACTAAGAAAGCTAAAGACATCAAATGGCTTCCTTCAGCCATCAAGCCAGTCAAAAAAATGTAAATACATTCTTGTTCCTAATATATTTTTCCCCAGTCCTATAGGAAATGGGAAAAATTGTTTGATTATTTCTTGCCATCAGCCTATAAAAAACTGAAATACCCTTTAATCAGTGCTTCAAATTCTCTGTAACAGAATTGAATTCTGTGTTACAAAGGCATACATTTTTCAACCTACATAACTTGTATCAATGGAGCATATTTGCATGGTTTCTTCTAATTTAAATAATTCTTTCTTTACTAATAATGGACAGGAACGGAAGAGTTATTTTGGATGCTGAATCTCTATACCACCCAATGGACTGAATACCAGGACCATTTTTTTCTGCTCTTGCAGAATTATTTTAGACCAAATGTAGATCCTTACATACGGTTGCATATATTTTGCATTTGTGCAGATATTTTACACAAGCCTGAAATTTGGTATGGATGAATGAAAAAAGTGATGTTCTTTTCTTTAAAAGAAACTCCTTCAAGTATCCTCATAACATCCCTAAAACGTAGAGCTGAAACTCTAGCGATCAGGGAGTGAGAGAGTATTTATAGCACTTGGCTCTTCCCCATAACTAGCCGAAACACAGCCAACTAAGCAAAATTGTAAAATATGTTAAGATCTGTGATGCTTTTTCATACATACACACAGATAGGATTCCAATGACAGGGAATTAAACATTTTTGTATTTTTCTCTCCTTGCAGTCATTCACATTTTAAGGTGCTTCATTGTATTTTGTTGAATACATATAATTGACATAAGTTTTCTTTTAATCAGTGTAAAAACAATTTGAACAGAGAGAAAGAAAGGACATTTAAATAGAGTTTAATAGTATATATGTACTAGACAAAAAGATAATTGAAGAGACCAGACTCTGAACAAGAAGTGCTCTTTAAGCATATACAGTATAACAATATACAGTACAGTATGCAAATTCAAACATAATTACTTCTTTTGTCCATACATTACTTATCTTTCCAGTGTTGGAGAATAAACTGCCAGAACTATCAGGTTCCAGTTACGTTATCCACTGAACAGATTCCAGATCTCTGGGTTGTAATTCAGAATTACATGAACATCAGTAAATCATTGGGTGTGTGTGTGGGGGGGGTGTGAATTGATACCTCCAATGACTTGAAGGGAGTCATCACATCACATTATATAGGATGATAAGTACTTTCAGATAGGTGTCTCTGAACACCACCTGTCAAAAGGTATGGTGGATCTATTCCATCTTTTTGTAGCATTCCTCCCTTTTTTAGTAGGACTTTATAGGAGAAACAGTATGAAAATATGAGAGGATTATACTGTCCCAATAAGATCTGGGAGCATAGCATGGGGATTGTACAATAAAAGCTTCATCGGGAAGCACTCACTTTATTTGAGGGGTACCAGTGTTTTGTGGATATTACTTTGTGTGTGTGTGTGGATATTACACATTACTTTTAAAATGCCAGTCCTCTAAAAATTTCTCTTATTTATTTCAGGTTGCAGAAATCTGATCTTCTTGACGTGGTAGTTTTTTATATTTAACTTTCTCTAAACTATACGATATAACAAGCCTTGTGAATAGCTTGAAGATCATCCAGAGTTTCTTGTTCAGACATGGTAACAGTAATCAATTCCTGATATTGTGTCTCTTTTTCAGGAACCCAGCAGCCAGGAATGGCCTATTATGCAGATCCAGAAGGAACTATGATGAACCCCATGGCCATGAGTTACCATGTCCAACCTAAGTCTCCACAAATGAACCCAGTTTATCCCCCTCCACCTTCTTACTGCAACACCCCACCCCCACCATATGAGCAGGCCGTAAAATCTTCCACATAGTCTCCTCATTGCAACCAACAGGGACTTGGTCAGAAAGGAGATGAATCATGAGCTGAGCTGAAGACTTGTCAGAGCTCTGCCGTCCTTTACTGTTGTTCAAGCTACAATAATTTGGACAATAGTGATGGATTTTCAGCACAGGATAAAACATCTTTTGACATATTCAAAATGAGAAGAAAATCTTTGTGTGCTTTCCCCCCTTCCCAAAACCTATATTTAAATTCCCTTTGCTGACCTTTTTAATTTATTATCTTTGTGATTTCAATGCATAATGTAACACATTTTTGAGGCACAGTATCCAAACTCTGTCCACCAATTTAGAAGTCCAGAAAGAGATTGTATTATTTTCTAGACGAAAAGAGAGAAAGAGATGGCAGTGGATTGAAAACATCTGAATTAGTTGAAGCAGATGTACTTGTTAATAAAACTTGGAGCAATAGAAAAAGAGTAGATGAAGGAAACCTGGAAGAACTGTGATACGACATGTGGAAACCCTTTCCATGTCAGAATAAAATCCCTTTGTTTCACTAGCGCCAACATTGGATGGAAGAAGATTACAAAATCTTCTATACTGACAGTTTGTGGAAGGTGGGCTGCCAAAAATAAGAAAATGCATTATCCTTCTGGCAGCCCGGATGTCACAGCAAACTGCTGATTTGGTGTGGAAAGGAAGATACTATTGGTCAACAGTAATTTGCCAAGTTAGGGTAACAAAAAACCTTTAAGGTCTAAAAAATATTGCTTATGTAAAGAAAAAGTTTGAAGTGTTTTGTATTGATTCAGGGGAGCTTGGTATAATTCTGTTTTGGCATATGTTGTTTTTATAGGTACCCCTAATAAGCTGGGTGTGAGAGATGCATCTCAAACAGGAGAACTCAATAAGGAGTCCTGGCTGGTTACAGTGGCCTGATTATGAACTCAGTTTTGCTTTTATATACAGAATATGAGAATTGACCCTTAGACTAGACTTTAGTATGCCTTTTCTGCATTTTGTTTTCAGTTGCATACTCTTTTTTGACATGGTAGCCTTACTTCCAGGTGACTTTTCCCTGGTTTCCCCCCGCCCCCCCCCATGTGCTGAGTTATTTATTCAGAATGAAAATCTTATAGAAATCTGAGATTTGTCAGGTACTGAGGAGTGATTGCAGGTTCTTCAGGATATGATAAACACATCGTGTAGAAATTAAGGAGATTATAGAAACTCACAGGTATAAATCTCATTGCGCCATCAAAAGTATGAGTCTCGGTCCTCCATATTTTTTGCTTGTTAGAAATGTCCTGTATTTGGCTGCCATGACTGGCATTACTGACATCTGTGAGCTCAGCTCCTTGATCTGTTTTTACTGAAGAATAAATGAAACCGTCCCAAGGTTACCAGGATGTATCTGAACTGGTTTTCCTTTAGTTAAGCATCTGTAGCTAAACTGGGAAGCTAGGTAGCAGTAGATTCTCCTCTTTTTCTCCACTCCCTAGTCTTTGACTTTTCAGTGTGTGACTGTGATGTACAACAGGGAGAAGAGTAGTGTTCAGAGCGAGGGAGAAAACCAGATGACACTATGATGTGCCTAGATGTTTATGTGACTGGGTACTGTATCCATCCATCCATTCATCCACCCATAATATTGGGCTTCCCAGTCTTGAAGGAAGTGGAAAGTCTTTAGGCAATCTGTGGGATCTGCAGGGGTACTTGAGAGGCATCTCCATTTCAGAGCATGGAAACCTTTGGAGGCAGTATTCAAACCAGACTTTGCTTTTAATTCATTCAGTACCTTGAATCGGTACATGTCACTTCTACTTATTGTGTATTGTTCAAATGAATATATTTTGAAAAAAGTGAGCAACTCTTTATGCATTCCATTTTTAGACATATACCTAAACTATTTTAAATGTTTGTGTACAATATGTAAAGGATTTGCGTCAAACTTGTAATGCAAACATATATGGGCATTTTTTTCAAGAAGCAAGATTGCTGGATTGGCTTATTCTAGCTTGCCTTCTGTAATGTATGAAGTTGCCCTAAGGCTATAATTCTTAAAGATAGTAAGAAAGAAGTTATTGCTATTCAACTTCAGTGTCTTGCTTCTGAGTCAAGTGCAGTAAATTATTAAATTCTAGATCATTTGCACTTCATGAATTTTAAGTTTAGTTTGATAGCATTTCTTGAGTATTTAAACTGGGCTGAAATAAAGACCCAGTTTCATTGTTCAGTTTCAGATGTAGTCAAACTGATCTTTTGAACATCTTTTGAACTACACATCTTAGCTTAAGCCTTTAATCTGAAATAGCTGTTTTATGTGCTATTCCCTGAATATCTTTCTCAGTTTTAATTACAATGGACACCTGCTGTTCTAAGTTAGAAACTTTGGCGGGACCAAAGATAATATAATAACATAACATAATACCAACTTGAGGGTATCTGAAAACATAGCACAGCACAACGTTCAGCCTGCGGAACCTTCATTCATGATGAAATAGAGATAGTAGTTGAGAAGTTACAGTGAAAATACTTGTTCCATAGAATTGAATGTATGAAAGTAACAACTACTGAATACCTAGGAAGGTATGAAGTCGGTGTGCAAGCCAAAAAACAAAAAAAGTTTCAGTTCAGGTCACAGTTCTTGAGAGAAATAATATTGTTTTGTATAGATTTTCAATATTCTTTGAGAAAGCAACTGTTATTGTTGCAGAGTCTTTGCTGCAGAATAAAACTTCAAATTCTTTCTGAAATTCACTGGTGTAAGAATAAGTACCAAACCACAAGCTGTCAAACGTCATCAATATAATTTGAATTAATGGGAACTTTAGGCATTCTCCTGCAAAATTAAGTCCTGAGAACGTCAAGTGGAGAAAAGAGCACACGTTGAGCCTTTTTCCTTTACCAGATCAGCATCCATTCATCAGGCTCCAGAGTTTCTCAATGTTAAATAAGAGTTCTCTGTTCAGGAAGCAACAACTAAATTGAAGCTATGAAATGTGGTTCTAATGTTCAGAATCTGCAGTTGTATAATTTTTCATTGTATGCACCATTCATTCTAGGTTTGCTCCTGGAATTCTATAAGAAATATCAAAGTTATAATTACATACATGATTCAAAAGAGTAACTTAGAAGGTGTAACCGCAAGACTGCTATTTGGTTTGAGAATTCAAGGTTAGGAAAAAAGACTAGAGACCTTACGATAAATACTGTGTGCACATTAATAATTTTCTATTCTACTTGAATGATTGTGTACTTCTAAAATCATTCCAATGCTGTATTACTTATAGAGAAGTTTTTTAGGGATGGAAAGATACCATGAAAACTATCTTTAATTTTCTAAAAACGTGTAGAAAGTAATAAAACGTAGGCCGTCCTTTTGTAGAAAGTGACCCAGCTCATATCATTCTATTGTACATGGCTAAAGGTCAGTTCAGAAGTAAATGGTAGGCTGTTTGTTCTGACCGCAGGTAGGGATGGGATCTCATGGGAAAAAATCCCTCCACATAGAAATGAACATGTCAATAAGGTTTAATCCCTTCTTGACATACTTAATTTCTCTGCATTAAAATGTTGAGACAGTTAGCATTCAGTGAAAAATATTACAATGCCAGAATAGTTGAGACCAGTTCCAAAGGCTAAACATATGGATAAGGTGCAACCTGAGATAATTTAGCTTGTTATAAAGAACACCCTCCCTGTTGCTCCCCAGAAATCAGTAAGCTGTGGGCAAAGACTTGCAGAACTTTACCCCAATTATTAAGCTGAGCAAAGCAATTAAAAAGGACATTTCACAAAGCACAGTGGGCATAAGAAAAGCATCTCTCTTTGAAGTGTTAAAGCAGCTATGTCCTCTGGAAGGATGACTGTGGTACCTTCAAAGGCTTTTTCTGGCTGTTGAATATGGGTACATACACACTTCACTGCATATAGGAAAAGTTTGCAGTGGTGTGCCAACCCCTCCAGAGGAAACATCTGCTCTAATACTTTGAGGGTGCTTGGCTCAGGCCAATATACTTTGCAGAGTTAGAATAATGGTCATGCATTGTGGTAGCCAGAAATACAGTAGTAATGTATTTCACTGGAGACTTACAATCCAGGTTTACCATAATATAATTATATTATGGTAAAATATAATACTTAGGGTTGAATGAATTGAGAGGCATAAATCAAATCTATCATGGTTTCATACATACTATTTATGCAATTGCTGGTCCATCAGTACAGTAATAAGATAGGATCAGTCCACCTGCATATTCATCAATGGTTGGCTGTTACATGATGAGTTTATTTTGGTTGCAAATATGTGTGAACTGCGTGAGATAGAACTACCACATCATCAAAATACATGAAGCACAATAACCACTATTGATTGATAACAAAACTGGGCAACATCAAAGGTTGAACTGATTTTGGTGAGAGAGAAAGTGATTTATTACAGAGCTGACATTGCTTGAATTATAGCCTCTCCATTCTTTACTCCAAAACTCTACCATTTGTCACTGTTCCTTTAGCAGAAATTTTTAGAAGACTTAAATCATTCTTAAGGATCATACTTGAAATTTGGGAGGAATCTAGGGGTTGGGTTTATGAGAGTTAATTAAGTGCCCACCTACCTTTGCTCCATAATTCAAGAGCTAATTGTAGCACAAGTTGGTCTTTGTTTTAAAACAGATTGGTTCCGTTTGGTTTATAATCTGGTCAAACTTGTCTCACTGCACAAAATGATTGTATATATTTTAAAAAATAGCATAGCTTCAAAGCTGCATAAGTTAACTGATAAATCAGGAGTTCCTCTGTTGGTGTGTTGAATCTATAGTGTTAGCAGGTAGATATTATTCAAAGTTTTATACTATTCAGCGTGTCTTGAAAACTGTTATATTTCCTTTTAATATTGGCTAGGACTCATTTTTACAATCAAATCTTATGCTGTACATTAAAATTTAATGTGAAGTATTTTTTTTTCCTGAGGTTTCTTTCTTATGTTTTTATTATTGGTGGATCATACCACATCTTATAATAAAGTTAAGCTGCTGTTCTAGTGAGAAGTTCTGGTATGCGATTGGAAAAGAAACAAAAACATCATTAAAGTTGTAGTTATTTTAATTCCTGCTTTGCATGCTTTCTTCAAATCCATTTTGTTTTGTTCTTGTATTTAATAAAACTTTTTCATAGTATTGTTAAAGCGTTGGAGGTTATCTTTCCTCTGTAAATAAGTAAAAGTGAGCTGAGGGATGCACAGCACTCTGACTGCTCATCCATGGTCAAGCTTACTAATCTGAACAGCCTTACACAAATTGTGGAGTCCTTGGGGTTCTCTGAGTTTGGTTGTTTTCTTGCAGATGTTTCATTACCTGGCTAGGTAACTTCTTCGGTGCACTGAAGATGTCACCTACCAAGGTAATGAAACGTCTGCAAGAAAACATCCAAGCTCAGAGAACCCAAGGACTCCACAGTTCAACCCTGAGCTACATATATTCTCTTCTATTGGTTACACAAATTATAACTTCATGTGCTTTCTGATCACCCACACAATAAAACACCTATGAAGGACAGCAAGGTAAAAAACAATTCTGACCCTTGTGTGAGGAAGCCTCCATTTATGTAGCCCCACCTTTAAACAATTCTGAACCTTGAGAAAGTGACAGTGGGCGGAGCCACAGTTACTCATCTCAGGTACCTGTTAAAGAGATCAATTTTATGGAAGAATAGACCAATTAAATAGAATCAATGTGATATAGCATTTAAGAGAACCACCAGGAATTTTCCCATGGAAGGGGCAATCTCAGTTGTGTTTAGTGACACACACACACACACCCATTGTTAAAACTGGATGCAAGTGCATTTATACTTGATAAAGCTGAAAGAGAGAACATAAGATGAATCTAATAAAGTCTAGGGAAATTTGAAAGGAATATAGAATTATAGAGTATTGCCAACTGAGATTCCAATGACAGTGCTTTGTGCTGAAGTGAACACACACAGCTTGCTTTCAGCCCCAAATAATAATTTCTTCCTAGAATAGTCTTCCATTCCTTGTACTTCCGAGCTAATTAGCCAAATTCTAATCGTCTGGAATGATGGCTAAGCAAAGTAACAAAGCTTTGTCCCAAATGGGGCCTTCATTAATATTTTGCCTCCATCTCAGCTTTCTAAACATCGATGGGCCTCTTTGAACTAGCTGTCAGCTCCCACGTAAGTGATGCAAGGAAGAGCACTCCTCTGGGGCAGGCACGTTAAAAGGATCTTGCAAGCTGGCTCCCCAAGCAAGAAGAGAGACCTTCTATATCACAGCTCTTTGTCTGGGTTTCTGTCATATCTAAATAACGGCATCCATTCTCAGAGATTGGGTGGGGTATGGCCGCACATCATCTTTTTCACTCTCAGTCCAGACAATGACAACTATCCCACTCACAAAAACCAACCCACATATTCCATAATTCAACCATGGACAGGAATGAATTATTGTTCAATTAACAGCACGTAAGCAAGAGGGCCAGCTAGTAGTGAGATTTCAGTACAAATCAGTGGGAAACCTGATGTGGCTCAGAACAGCTAGAATCCTGTCATCAATGCTTAGCTATCTCTGCAAAGCAGCAGTTTACCAGCTATGTCATGCAAAATAAGTGCCAAGTCAGTTACTTTTAAATGAAATTTGGAGGGGGGTATTTCTCATTTCTCTTGTCGTTCTCATGCAATTAGCCCTAGACATAACATTAATTCCCTTACTGAGGACCAAGAAGCCAACAATGCAGTCCCATGTATGTAATGGCCAATATTAAAATATAATCTGACCAGAAAAGAAGCCTTTGAATAATGAATACACAATCTACGTGCCTACATAGGGCAGATGTGGAGCAGCCCATTTGTGTCCTCTTAGCCAAGGTCAGTTTTCCCCTTTGGTTTGCTATAATTTCCCTAACGTGCCCACAAACACTGGAAACCTTTGTCTACCTCTCAGCCATAATCACACATAGGCACCCTGAATGTCCCTGATCCACTGGCTTTCTCCCTCAGTTCACGTTTGTCTTTCCACCTCAAGACAGCTGACAGGCAGGACTTGGCTTCTTTGACTCAGGCCGCGTATGTGTTGAAATCTGCATATAAAAGGATGGCTTGATCAAAACTAAAGGTGTGCAGAAAACCATGGTGCAGTTCCACATGCTGCCTGCAGGGAAATTCGGTAGTTTCTGTGATAATTTTTTACACTACTCCTGCATTCAGTTAACAACTGATGATTCACTGCATGCTTTGGAAGCAGCTGTAAGGCAAATTGTCTTAGTTCAGAGGCTTCTATAATACTGACTATATTAAAATCAACAGTCTGACTAGTTTTGGGATTGATAACTCTCTTAAATTTACTAGTAAGAAGCTAATTTAGTAAATTTAGATGGGGGAATGCTATTTTCCTGTAAATTCATTTAGAAGCAAATGACAAACATTTTAAAACAAGGTCATGTCTACACAACATGGTCACTATAAAAGCCTACAGCATTTTCAAAAGGTAGCTTAGCCTTCCTGATTAAAAAAAAATAAAAATCTCTCAATATATTTTTCTTACAGAATCGCTCCTCCAAAGAGGTCTAAAAATTCTAAGCACTTACTCAAGAACTATTCTCAGTTCCAGGTAATATATGTAGAGGATCAGGTTATAAAATTTGAGCTGTCTGTTATGAGTAAAATTATTTAGTAAATCTTCTTCAACCCAGTGCAGTGCAGACTAATTGAAACTACAACTCCTGGAAAACACAGCTGGCATGAAGGACATCAGGTTAGGGAAGGCCAATGTAGGATTTCTCTTGATATTAAGATGACATGTTCCAAATTTCCTTAAGGTAAAGACACCTATGGAATGAGCACAGTAATACATCCATAACATGATGCTATCAAGAAACAGTGAAAGATCACTTCCCACTTGTGTAAGAGACTTCCAGAGAAACTTTGGAATCGCTCACTTACTTTGCTTTTTTTGCAAATGGACAGATTGAACATAATTGTTCAAAACAGTTGTATATTTTGCTAAATGTATTTATATTTTTTGAAAAACCATTTGAACAGCAAAACATTGTGGCAACCAGTTTTCCCTTCACAAACCCACCATCCCTCCTTAAGAAAAGGTTCCACTGACTGTGAAACTGCCCTTTCATGTTACCCTAGAAACAATACAATAGCCATCACAAAATCAGAGCAATTTGGTACAACAACTTTTAAATATCCATTCTAAGAGTGGGGTTTATCTTCAGTGACTGGACAGTTTTGGGTTAGTTTTAACACTAACCCTTTCACCCCAAATGGTACACAAAACTTATTTTATTCAGATTCTTTTAGAAGATGTGAAACAGTAAATATGAAGAGTAAACATTTATTGAGAAAGTTCTGAATGAGTGACCTACTGAATATGTAGCTCTCGAATGGAAGAATGCAAAGAAAATATGAAGTTTCAAAGGATGAAACGACAAAACTAGGACAACCAAAGCTCGCAGGGGAGCTATCATTGCCTTCTTAATCAGAACAGATTACTTGGGTTCCACTGAGAAACCAAATCACAACAAGCCATTTTGTTTTCTGTGGCTCTTTGTCTCTGTGGCTTCTGTTGTCTGCCAACCACAATAATCAAATACTGCATGTGCAACACCACCAAAGGGGTAGTTTTTCTTCATAAACTGGGAGTTATGATCATGGTCCAGCTGCACAAAGAAGCAACCCAGCATATATGTTATCCCTCCCTGCAATAAAAGGAGTTTGTGACCATGTACTTTCCAGCTGCAGAAAGAGAATTGTGTTGTTAGTACAGCCATGCACAGAAAAACAACAGGACTGGATGTTACAGAATGCTTTTCAGCTTTGCCACAAACAAGGGTGGGGGAATCACACTTACAGACAACACCGAGAAACATGCAAACGCTCGAAAGACCTGAAGAGGCAACTGTGAAAGCCAAACAAGAAACGTCCCAACAAACTGAAATTTGCTCTTTGCCCTGTTAAAGGTATCTCGTGTAAGGAAACATCAAGGTATGGAATTCTCTCTCATGCGCTAATGACAAATGCAGTCCTTTGAAGGACAGCCAAGAAAGTTTTCCTGCATCTCGCTGCTTGGACTCCAACGTTGCTCCACTATACTTTAGGCACTCGGCAGTCTTGTTGCTTCTGGCTCCAGCTTCGTCTCCCATTTAGCTGTTCCTCTCCTCTTTGTTTTCTTTCCTTTGAGGACTAAGCTCAAATGCTGGGAAGCGGGACTGTTCAGGAACCAAGATGTCAGAGAGGAAGTGGATAGCTCCTGCCATGCCTGAAGTTTGGAAGTAGACAAAAGCAAAAGGAAATCTGGCATCTTCGTTCATGACCTTAACCAGGGGCATGCAGGCAAATGTTTCAGGAAAGGACTGGACTAGTTCCGTGCAAACCTACCTAGGACCAACAATCTCCTTTTATTAAGAGGACACAATTTGGAGAGAGGACCAAAGGCCACAGGGGGCACCAATTTCCCTCCCATGGAAGCATAATGTCTACTAGTATCTTAGTACATATTTTTTGCTCTAAAAAAAGAGGAAGTTACACTGCCCAAATTTGGTGGTGCAATCTTGGAAGAATCTTACGGCTGTAAAAAAATCAACTCACAACTTGCCCACTGCAGTCTTATGCTGATTAAGAATTGCATGGGAATCCCCACAAGAGCCCTTCCTGAAATAAATTAGGCTAATAAATTAGAGTGGATTGGGAAGTGGATTGTCTGAACTCCTTTCAGTCAGGATTCAGTCCAAGACCTGGGGTGGGAACAGCATTGGTTGCTCTGGTGTATGATGTATGCTGGGATCTGAATGATGGAGGGAGAGTGCTCCCTCAAGGTCCTCCTAGTCCTCTCAACAGAATTCAGTACCATTCACAATACCCTTCTGGATATCTGGGAGTGTTGAAAGATGAAGTCACTATTCTATAATGGTTTTGCTTTATCCTGAGTGGTAGCTAGGACAGGTCAGCCTAATGGATATTCCCTTGTAGGGTAACCAGGGTTTGGTCATTTTCACTCTACTTTTTAACATCTACATTAAACCACCAAAAAAGATCATCTGTCAGTCTGGGGGGAGGCATCATCTCCTGCTGATGATATGCAGTTATATAATTCCAGCCTGAGCCAAGTCAGAAGTGCTGTTGACATCATGACCCAACGTCTGGAGACTGCTGGAATAGGGAATGAACGAAATAGCTTAAGCTGAACTCAAGCAAAATGGAGTATTGTTTGTTGGAAAGGCTCTCTATCAGCTCTGGTTTTAATTCTGGATGGGATGGCAACCTCTAGAAAAAGCAAGTCTGCAATCTGAGGACTCACAGCTGCTTCAGGAAGGGTGGGTGGAGGCCATGGCCATGGGGGCTTTTGCCTACTTTTGGTGGTGTCCCTACCTGAAGCTGGAGGCCATGGTGCCAGCAATTCACTAGCCCTTACTCTCACATGGCTAGTGCTAAGTGTTGCACATGGGGCTGCCTTTGAAGAACTCCTGGAAAATGTGGTCGGTGCAAAATGCAGCAGCTTGTTGATAGGCAGGGGAAAGCCACTGCGGTCCTATGGACCTTGCAGTGGCTGTAATTCATCCTGGGAATGTGTTTCCTATGGAAAAAATAGGCTTCAGGATAGTCTGCATCCAAAGGATACAATCTAGAATAAATTATTTATGATAGCATAGATTTATCTGGGATTAGGGGCCACACCTGCACAAATGTCCTTGGGAGAAAGTGCCACTGAACTCAATGAGACTTATTTCTGAGAAGGGAGAGATTTGTGCTAGTGGTCTCTCTGAATTTTAATTTACTTCTGAGTAATCTGGACAAGATGGAGTCTTTGAAAACACCATGACTCACTTAAGCCTTGTTAATGTCAGTGAGAGTTGCCGTGTAATGGAGAGGGCAAACATGGTTAAGTACACAACCACCTATTTCAATGATTTTCTACTCATCAGGATCTACGAAGCTGGAAAAATTGCCCCCAGAACTGAAGACAACATTTTTCAACCTGCTGTCTTCCAAAAATTTTGGATTAAAGCTTGGCAAATTTCCAGCCAGCATGGCATGGAATTCTGGGAGTTATATGCCAAAGACATCTGGAATGCAACTCTCTATTTAAGCATTCTAGTATCCTATATCTAAGTCTTCATATGCATTTTGTAATATCAAACCAATGCTCTAAGGCTGTTAGATAAATCTCATAGAGAAAGAAAGTCACAGAGAACATATAGAGCTTATTCACAAACATAGATTCTACCAATATATCCATCCTGCCTTAACTACTGAAAACTCTTAAGAATGGTGAAAAAAACTGGAAGATAAACAAGGAGGGCCTTAAAACAGAGCTGCGTAAAGTGGTTTGAATTTGAAAAATAGGATTAGGGTCATAACATTTCTGTTGAGGTCAGAACAGGTCCAACATTAATTTTGTAAAATTATTCAGAGCTTGGCAGATAAAAGTATTTTGGTTGTAGCCCAACTCAGTTTACTGGAAAGTCATATATATCTAAGCCTGTAGCTTTACAGTCCTGTGATGCAAATGTGTGCTTACTGAATTCAGAATTCAAGAAAACAAGCTCTTACCTTCAAACAATGAGTAGGGGCGGTCAGGAATACGGCATCCATGCGCACCATAGTCTAGACACCACTCAGCAAACTGAGGAAATGTGACAAATAAGTGGGAGAATTAGTAAGTATCTTGCCAACCATTATACATAAATAAATATGTAACTCTGCACTGATCACAGTTTACATAGTGATGTTAATCTCTGTTAGTATCAGCTCCAAGGAGAAAGGATCAGCAGTTTATATGAGGAGCTCTAGTGAGCAACCAGCAACCCCCAGGTCATAATTCAGAAATTCAACTGCTGAGCTGTCAGAAGACAAGGGCTACCCCTAGTTTGGACCATCATTCAGTTAAGTTCAAACTGGTAATAAAAATCAATTGCACTATCGTCATCATCATCGTGCAGATTGTTGCTGCTTAATTCCACATGCCTCCACTATAATGACTGAATAAATAAGGTAAATACCTAATATATTTAGTTATCCTTATTCAAACGTCTTCTATCAGGAAGGAAAATCAGTTGTGGTTCTCCACAGCCTCTATTACCAATTGCCAACCAGGGCCCTGGATTCTGTGGCAGACTCTTGCATTTAAACAAGCCAAGCCAACCAACTAGCAGCATCTTTAGGTTTGCAAATAAGGATTCCTGTGCTTGCCTATGTACAAGAAATATACTTTTTCAAGATATTTATATAACAAAAATCCAGTCACAGCAAGCAGGTAGCAGGAGGTTTGGAGAATCCCAGGATTTCCAGAAAGCTAAAGGCCTTCAAGAGAAAAAGCAACTGGGCTGGGATGAACACAAGCAGTTCAGGGATCTAGCCAGCAGTCACAAAATACAGACTGAATACTTGGGTGGGGGGAAGAATGGGCAAAACCAAGAGTGCAGCTGGGAAATGAAATGGAGCACTTTGGAAGGGAACATGGCTGGCTGGCTAGATATCTAACTCTAGAGGAGAATGTATGTAGCTCAGGGTTGCATTGTGGGGTCCTTGGGGTTCTCTGAGTTTGGTTCCAACCAGGCTCAGAGAACCCCAACGACTCCACAATACCTGACTCTGATCCCAAGCAGTCCACACTGCAACTCTGCATACAAGATTTTCCTGTTGGTTTCAGTAATTATAATAAATATGGATCCTGGCATACATCTGCTTCCCTCGCTATCCCTTTTTCTTTCTTTTGGGTGGCAAATCATTCTAGCAGAGGGCAAATTCATTCTTCATTTAATACAATTGGAAGGCCTAAAAGAAAATTACGATTATTGTGTTCAATGTATGTTGATTTAGAAAACTGTTAGAAAACCAAGAGGTACTTTAACAGAGTGATCTTTTTTTCCTACTATGGGAATATAGGATAAGCTTATTCTTCCTGTTTGATTTGAATATGGAAGAAGAAATCTTTCAGTGACACATCAATAAGAAGAACAGGGATTTAGTGTTTCTCTAAAAAAAAGAGAAAAAAGTACCTTGCAAGCTCGGTAAAGATACTTTTTATCCTGAGTTAGGTGATAAAGGGATAAGAAAGAGTAGCCATTTCCAGCAGTCCCGTGACAGATTCCATACCCTTTCCTCAACAACCCTCTTTGCCAAATGACATCACTAGATTCCATAGCATCCTTCAAATATTTATCTTCCTTGAAAACCTGTGGATATCAAGAAGCACAGAATCAGATGCCCATCTTGTCCAAACCTCAGAAAAGGTAGGAAAAGGTTTTGTGACTATATGGATTTAAACCAGAAATCTCCAGAGTCTATTTGCACTCCCTCTGCAGAGACACCACAGCATGCTTTACCATGGAATTGGGCAATGGGACTCATTGTGACATTCTTTTATCTAGGAAAGAGGATCCCTCATAGAATCTACATTTAGCTCTACATTGAGAGCTGCCCATCTCTGCAGGAATGCTCACCCAGATTCCACCAATTGAATGAACTGTCATCCAGGTGTTTCAAACTGCTTACAAGAGCCCCATTCAGTACCATTACTCCCAGTTACCTGGGCACATATAGGTACTGAGGCTGAGAAATGGAATCTTCTAAAAACCATCAAGTAGCTTCCTGGATGAGGCGAGTTTTACACTAAGGACTTCCCAGTTCAAATGTAATTTCTCTGTTGTCTTCCTTCTCACCCCACTGTCTGAATACAGACTGAAAGCTTCTCAAAGCAAAGCTATAACTTCAATTTATCACATTTAATAACTATTAAATGAACTATTAAAAGAAACAGCCAGAATGCAGCTTGGGGTAAAACATCATTTAAAGAAGAGTTTGTCTCAAACTATGGGGAAGGAAGCATTGTCACTAAACTCACTTTTTGTTTGCTTACAACAAGACTTAGCAGCTAGTTCTTTGAATCCTGATTATCCCACAGAAGAATAAAATCCTTATTACATTTTAGAAAGCAACACTGCAAAGTGCTGGAGGAATGGACAGCACATGCTACATAAGTTGCTATTAAAAGTCTGAAAAGGCAACTTTTCATTTCAAAGCAAATCTTTTTCTACTCTCATGTGTGGGTCAAACAAGGACGCACCTTATAGGCTTGCATGAGCATATGGATGACTCCAGGTGCCCCATGACACCAATGCACCAGCCTGTCAGTTTCATTGCTTAAAGATGAGGGATAATTCCCAGATCGGAATTTTTTATGACGCACATAGTCAATGCTTGGCTTCAAAAGTTCCATCAATGTCTCCCGGTCGACATTAGCTGCTGGCTGCAAAAGAAAATAAGATTTTATTTTTCTTTTCTCACACAGTAAGAGTACATTGTCATAAAAATGAAATGTTGTGATTACACATTTCAGTGAGCCTCATATCCATGCTGAAGATCTGGAAAATGATTGCCTTAAATTATCTTTGCTTGACTGTCTTACAATTAAAATGAAATCATATCTAAATTGCACTTTGCTCACTGTGTATTGCTTTGTGTATGACAAGAAGAGTTGCCCAACAATAATATGATTCATATATTCCACAAGTGGAATATATACTCATATTCCTCTACCAAGAGGGATGTTAGCTTTCCCACTTATTTGGGGTTTCTACATCTTATAATGGTGAAATGCTTAGGTGGCCATTTTGCACATTAAACCAGGATTGCAAAGTTACTATGCACAAATCCCACATGCAACTTAGTATTTCTTTGTTTGCCAGGAAATGGCCATATAAATCCTTGAAATCTGGATTCAAGGATCATACCACAAAGTCAAGATGTGCATGGAGGGGAACAGAAAGACAATTCCTTTGTAAGTGGAAATACATGTTCATCATCTCTAAATCAAGCACATATCAAGTCTCAAGAAGATTCACATCTCTTAGGAGACTCAAGGAATAGAGGAGCAGTTTCTTCATTCATTAAATGGGTAAAACAAATAAATAATATGATACCATCCTGAAGCCCAGGCTCCTGATTTGTGGCACCCAAACAAAACAGGATTGCAAGCCAATAACAATGTGGGTTATACCAATTCAGTAACATAAATTTGATTCATTTGGAAGCAACAAACCAGGATCCTGGGTTTGCATCTCATATATGCTACTACTTATGGGACCAAGTCATCTCTTCTTTCTCATTCTATAGTCCATACCATCCTAAGCCTTCCTACCTCTTAATGTGGGTTATCCCGCAGAGAGGTGCATTTGGGATTTAACCTCAATGGGTTAGTTCTTTGCTGAACATTTCCACTCCACTCTCTTGAGCCAATGTGGATGCCTTCCCCCTTTCCTTAACAGCCTAGCTGATATCAATAATTGGCCAATGGCTGGGGTGCAAAAGCAGCAGCTCAAGAATGACTTAGCTCTGGGCAAACAAGCGATGGGAAAGGTTTCCCTTGAGCCAGGGCTTCCCTCTGTATTGCTCCAGATCCACTTTAAACTCTTGGCCAACCTTCAAGGAATGGACTAACAGGAACAGCAGAAGCGGCTTGAATGGAGTACTGGGGAGGCAGGGTTCCTCCTAGGGCTCGGGCAGAAACTCCAAGACCAAGCCTGAGACTGTCCTCCACTGAGTGATGGTCATCTTGCTCACTATTAAAAGTGGTTCTGAGCAGATGCAGATGGCCTTTTCCTCAGTGCTGAGAAACTGCCAGTCACTAGTAGAATGGCTTCCCCAAAAGACTGTGATTTTCCAGTGGAATTGAGTTCTGTGCTCTCTTAGGAAAACACTATCTAGAAGTAGGGCTGGGCAAGTCCTTCTAGCATAGTCTCAAAAGAAGACAGCTGCAGACCAAGAGTGACTCTAGAGAATTAGTTGGCCAGAAAACAAACACATGGAACCTCACCTGCATAAGCATGTAGTAAATCCCAGCCACACCATGGGCTGCTCCCACATACTGCTTCCGGTGCCACTGGTACAGTAATGGGCACCGTTCAGTCTTTCGTTCTTCTCTGGAAAAGTTTTTCCCTGACTCAGTGATGGATTCCACAACCTAATGCAGACAGAGGAAGAAGAAGAAGGAGAAGAATCTAAAAGTACAGTGTTCTTCTAATACAATGTTTGCTTTTTTGCCTGAGCGATGCGAATATGCTGCTGCAAAGCCAGTCTTCTTCGAGAAACTCCTTGGATACAAAGCGATCAAGCTCTACCTTCAAGCAGCACTTGAGATTTCCTAGGATACCATGCCATTGTTTCTATATAATGCAATGCTTTATCACCCACAAAAACACTTTTACCACCAAGCTAGAGAGGACACTGCAATAGGTAGAGCTGGCTGGAATGCAAGTGCAGAGATGTCAGTGTCTGTTCAGAAAGCACTCTTTCCTTCATTTCTGGGCTATTTCAGAACCTCTGCAGAGGTTGTATCTTATTACTATTTATTATAGGTTTTCAAGAAGGCTAGATGCTGGAAAACAACAGGGCTTATCCATCTTTTGTTAAGAAGCTCCCTAATAATAATATACCATATACAGGGAACCCTTTGGTTTATTTTCTATAATTTTCTGAAAACTAAGCGCACTCCCTTCTGATACCAAGCTAGACTATTGCTTCATCTTCTTCAATACTGTTGGCACTAACAGGGAGCATCTCTGGGTTTCTATAACCCTGTTTCGAAAGGCATGGATGCAACCTGGACCTTTCCATGAGCCAAGTTATGTCCTTTGGTACTGTGCAATGACCTTCCAAAATATATTGGGACAAAAATACAGGCTCCCATTGGCACAAAAGTGGAAGGTTGACAGGAAGAGGATAAAGTGGGCTATAAAACAGAACAGAGCAAGGGGGAGGCCACATAGCCAGGGACAGCTCCTTCTCTCTCTCTCTTCTACCTTCTTTGGAAGTGCTATCATAAGGCATTGGACCAGTTGGGAATTACCAAGTTTTAGAGGCAAAATGGATACATCAAAGTAAAAGTCCCAATATTGTGGGTGGCTATAAGGGGAGAAATAGGTGTCTTAAGCCTCTGACTTAACAGCCCTCCTAAAAAAAATTGGAAAGCAACCCCTCCCCCCGCAATGCCAAATAGGTTGCTTCTGGGGTGTGGTTTTAAAATGAAAAGTTTGGGAAAAGGCAAGGAAAGGCTTGGGTAGGTGGGAGACAATTCAGCATAATCAAAGCTGCTGAGTGGGACATACAGAAGAAGAGAGAGGAACTGAAAGAACTATTAAAAAACACTGTGCGTATTCAGAAGTCTCTTCCTTTTCAAAGCAGCCAACTCTGTTCAAGTTGAACTCTCTGGAATGTCATTGAAAGAAAGAAAAAGCATACAATGTTGGATTTAAGTGACCATTTGTGGGGAAGTGGTATCCATTAATTCTGAGTATCTGCTACATTCAAACTGAATTATGCAATTAGGCAAACAATGTAAATTGATGCAAATGTCAATTATATGATTTTACAAATGACACCAGGCTTTAGGAAAACAGACATTTTTGTCCATTCTTTGGGAACTGAAATCCCAAATACAATTTTGTCAGTTACATTCAAAGACAGCTGAATGGAGGTCCAGAGAATCAAGGTTTTATTGCATTTCCCTTACCTCTTTGATTACTGACTGCGGCACTGTCTCAGGACCAATTTCAGTATTCAGATAAAGCAAAGCATACAAGTAACCAGATCTTCCATAAAGCAACTCATCTGGAAGGTCAGAATCTGAAGCAAGGACCATTCTCTGGAGCTGCAAAAGTCTGGGGCAAACCAGAAGTGAGAAAAGCATGCAATGGAGCTCTCATTCTTACATTCAGTCTCAGATGTGATATGGGATGCTGTCTAGTCAAGACTTGTAAGTAGCAATTCACCTGACTGCCAGAGAAAGCAAAAACTGCCCCCATTGAAAATTCTCTTGTATTTCAAAAGTGCTGAATTACATCAAGTTGGAAGCAGCTTGGACAGTGTTAGAAAAATGCTTGTTCTGGGGGATGGGGGTAGGGAGGTAGAAAGTTAGCTAATTACAATTACAAAACTGTCTGCATAGAACTTCATGGATGGCAGCCAGCAGGGGCAATACATGTAAAAAGGGGGTGGAGCTTCTGGATTTTTGGAAGCTCCCTCATGGATGATCCTGGCAGCCAGATGTTTTGGAAGGCAACTCAACTGATTCCAATAGCATTTATTTCCAATTAAGCATGTCTAGGATCCCGTCTTTAACCTTTTATCACTCTTTGCTTCTGCTTCACAAAACTCCCCAACTTTATTCTTAGGAGATGAAGAAGATTCATGTAACAAAAAGATACTCTTTGCAAAAGTAATGGCAGAAATTAATCTCCCACCAAGCATGGATTAGCAGGTGACCAATTAAAATTCTAAATATAAACTTCAATAGAAGGGTGGAGTCTCTATGAGCCAATCAGCCATACAACATAGAGGCAAGATAGAACACACAGAATGCAAACATCAAACACCTGGTCTTTATGACTCTCCAAACATAACTGTTGTCAGTTTCAAAGCAGCTGAATGACAGGAAAACATTCCAAAAGCCTTAGGCTCCTAATAATATTATTTTCCAGAATGAGAGTATCAAAGGATATTAAAAAATGTTAGAGTAAAAAATTAAGATACAAACACACACAATTAAAATAGGTTCATTATTTGGCACAGAAAAAAATGAGAATATGAGCACAAAGTGCTCTATCACCAGCATTTCACAAATTGGTATTGCTTGCCAGTAATCATCTGCCAGAAACAATCCAAAGGGCAGTCTTATACCAAAGAATATTTAGTTGACCTAATCTGTTTGTCCCAGTCAATCTCAGCCACTCACTTGGTCACACACTCCTTGGATTCACTGTCATTCTTCAGCTTGTGATACACAACTGCTCCCACTGCCAAAGGTCCAGCATCACCGCAGAGGAATGTAACTCTTCTTCCATTCAGATTGCGTAGGATTCTCTTCACATAATCCAGGGATCGCTGTAGGTGAGTTGGCTCGTTTGTCACACGATATAGCTGAAGATACAAGAGCGCTATGCCTGAAATTGCCACACAGGGAGGAAAAAAATGAGATACTTCATCTGTGGTTTTCTCTACATTTCTGAACCCACATCCAATACACTGGAAGCATCATTCATATATACATCTCAATTCAGTAGTTTAACCTGTTTTAATGCCAGGCCTACCACTAAACTCTCAAATGGCATAAATACAATTCCTTACAGTTTTTACTCTTTTTCACTTCTCTCTATTACTCTCCATTGCTCTTCTTGTAAGAAACTGTAGGAGTTGGATTTCACTAAAGACTAAGAGAATAACTTGAATCGGTCTTGCAAAACATCCCATATAACTGTTTCAATGTTGAGATATGGTGGCACTTCCAAGAGCTGTCAATCACCACTCATACTGCCACGTTCTGGGCCAGCTGCAAATTCCACACTATTTTCAAGCTGTACCCTAGAAAGAGGTGCAATTTTAAAACCTACACTTGATGTTACACAGCATGTGTTACCCACACCATGCCAATCTTCCCCAGGAAGGGTTACATTTGGTTTGTCAGCCAAAATGAATCAAAATCCCTCTTGTGCAGAGGGGACTCCCAGATGAAAATCTGTTTCATATGTGGGAGTTCAGTCTCATTCAGAATAAGCAAAAGTTCAGTACCTACAATAACCAAGAACTCTGACTTGTCTGAATTCAGCTTCAGTTTGTTCTCCAGCATCCAGTCTATTACAGACTAAAACACGCAGAAGCTGTTGAAATAACCTATCTTGAACTTTTAGGAAAGAAGCACAACTGGGGATCATCAGGGTACCAGTAGAACTGCTCCCTTCTCAGCATCTTTCCATAGATACTAAATAACGTGGGGAACAAAATCAACCTTGCAGTATTCCACAGGACAATTCCCAAGGAGGTCAAGCAGATATCTCCCAAGATCACTTTCTGATAGCACCGAGAAGGAAGAGGAGAATGACTACAAGGCCATGTCAAGCTGCTGAGATATTCAGGGGTATCAACAGAGTTCCAATTTCCCTGTTACTTTCCTGGTGCATTTTGCCTATTAGGCCCACCAAACCCAAAGTGGGAGAATGCACTGGCTTCAAAAGATACAATCAGTACTTGTCTGATTGTTCAGAACATAAGAATGATTAGGCCTCACTTGAAGGGAGACTACCAGAGAATACCAGGGCTGTAAACTAGATCAAGAATTTGAAAAACATCCCAGAAAGCTATGGCAATTCACTTCTGTACTGCTGCCAAGAAAACTGCCTGGGTATGTCCATGAAATCATCAGGAGTCATTTGGCTCAAAAGAGACTTTATCCTAATGCACTGACAGTTCCATTAATCTAGATCAACTTTCCTCAGCTGGTGTCCTTCAGAAGTATCAGGATTAGGGAGTTACAGTCCCAACACACAAGAAATGAATCAGGTATGCTGTCGGTAACTTAATATTTATAACAAAAATGCTAGGACCAACTACGTGGAGTTGTGTATAATAATAATTGTTTTCTATTTTATATCACTGAAGAGAGGTGATGCAGGGAAACAATGCATTTTGCTAAATCACATTTTTTATTGAAATACAATTAAAAATGCAAAAATGCTTATCAGGATTAGATTAAACAGGTTAGAAAAGGAAAGCTGTATGTGCAGTGGAACAAGTGATGGCCCTTTATCACAAAAAACATGGGTTCCCAATTCAATTACGAAGATCAGCTATCAATTCTCCTAGCCTGTCTCACAAGACTGTTACAACTGTGCAGTGAGTAACAATATGTGTGCCACTCTGAGCTTCTTCAAGGAGGGGCAGGGCACAATGGGTGGAAATAAATAAAACCCAAAAATAAAGTAGTATGAATAGCTTTACATTTAACTCACACAAAGCTCCAAACATATTTTAACACAGAGTGTTCCTGTCCAACACTAAGGCTTCTCCCACGGGACTGCTACTATTCCTTTTTCTGTCTTGCGGTAAGCAAAAGGTTGAATTCTTCCATCATACTGGACTCAAGAATGAATTAGCAATGAATTACCCTAATCCCAGCAACAGAATTTTGTTCTGTTCCATTTCTAAAAAAATAGCAAGTGAGAGGCGGCAATATTTTTTTGGAAAACAACATTTCACCACCATTAGGCTGTTTCCATTTTTTTTTCAAGCAAACAAATCACAAATGCCACAATTTTGTCACCTCTCCTCCTACAGAGCCATCTGCTTAGAATGCTTTGCATCCTTTCAGAGCCATTAAGAAGGAACAAGTGGAAAAATACTGATCTTTTTTTCGTAACTGAGAGTGGGCCAATCTGCTTTCAAATTTAACTTTTGTTTGGGACAAAACCAGAGAAGAGCATGTGGTCTGCTGAAACGCCAGCTTTTCATGTCTCTCCCTCCTTGAGCTAATCCTTGGAAACAGTCTCTGGATCAAGCTGTAGCAAAGACAGGGAGAAACAACTCTTCCAATAGTGATCTGCGCTATTCCTCAACTGTTTCCATCCCAGATGATCATTACTACAATTTCTCCAAATTGAGAATTACTTCCCAAGTTTGTTTTTATCTCCCCTTTCCCCTCATTTTCTTTGTGATGGGTCTTTTAGGTTGTAAAGTTATTCTGGGAGCCTTTTCAGCTGAAACTGAACATACAAAGTATGACAAAAATAAACCCTACATTTTGGATGATTTGTGTAAACCTTGATTGCAATAGGGTTTGAGTGCAGAACAAGGGACCCAAAGTTAGAGGTATGTAAGACTATGTATGCTGTCTTGTATGTCTATGTATACTTTGTCCATCAGGCAGTATACATCCTGTGCCAATAAACTGCATTCCATTCCCAGCATAAATTCTTCTGTATTTATTTTGCTACCTTATATTTTGGTTGGCCAGTCCTGAGGATGAGCAATGAGCTATGCAGGACATCTAAACCTTGGAGAGAACCAGAGTAATACATTGCAGGTTCTGCAATTCATTAGGCATTGCCTGTAGGACACATACCTATCAGGTGATTAGAAACACCCCTACATCTCCCAAATCTCTCTCTGCCCCCCCAAAACAAACTCAACAACGTTGTCTTGCCACCTCTGCATCTCAGAGAATGAATTTGTAGGTTCTTGTTTTTGTTTGGTTTAGTTTTGCTCACATATTTCTGAATTGATTTTAAGCTAGGGAATCCGTCAAGGTGTGAGGAGATGGGGATAGTTAAATAACTGATTGCAGATTTTAAAAAGTAAGATTTAATTAAATGTTCATCCTCTGGTCATTTTTTAAATCTTTCAATGTGGCCTGGACTCCTTTCACAATAGCATTCTCACAGACCCAAGGAAAACTGCGCTTCCATAACATATTTCAAGCCAACTCTTGCGGCTAGAAAACTCTCATTCAATGAAGAAAGAATTTCTCCTTCTATGTGATCAGTCATTAAAGAAAAAAAGTCTAAACATTTGGCCTTTTGAACTAAAGAGAAGTTGGGGAATGTATGCCTTGCTTACAACATTATCAAATATGTTACAGATGTCTTCATGAAAGGTGAGAGAAAACTTTATCAACAATTGGAATATCAACAGAATACAACCTGAATGTAGAATCTAGCACTTGATACATAGTGAAGCTCTTATGACTTCACTTCCAAATTAACTATCTATCAAAAAATTCAGGTATCTCACCTGTCCAGCCAGTATATGCAGAGCAGTCATGAGGATCTGCTGTCTTTAATCCTTCTTCCATTTGTTGCAATAAGTCTTTAATTTTAGTTGTAATTTTCTTATTAAAATACGGGCTGATCTGCAAAAAAAATAAGGCCAGATACGGTTAAAATGTATTATGTGCACACAGAAGGTCTGATTTAGATAACAAATAAAATCTTCTTGAATGAAACACACAAGACCCTAAGCCATAAATCATAATTTACACATGTAATGGGGAAGTTCACATTAGGGGTCTGCAAAATGTTTTAGAGCTGAAACATTTTGATCCTCAAAAGTTCAGGCCTTGGATGGATTGGGCTGTTCCATCTAATATTGTTCAGACCTTACTGGAAATGTTCCATTTTGAAATGCAGCATTTTTTACTACAAAACAGGAGTCACAACTGTCCCCTTCAAGAACAGTACGTTCTGGAATGCCCCAAAAACAATTTTGCATTTGGAACATGGTATTTTGTGTCTTACTATTTTGATCCTGAACTGTTTTGCACCTCCCTAGTTCCCATAACAATCAAAGCCAAATCAAACAAACCACATTAGGTTCAGCATTATGTGTGAGCTCAGACAGTATGTCTGTTTAGCATTAAAAGGCATATAAGAGACCCAGCAACTTTCAGACTTGGTCTTTCACAATGATTTTAATTCCTCTGGCCAAGAAAAAGTTTCAGTAATTTCTCTGCCTCTGCTTCAACCATCCTTTTTTTTTTTTTTAATCTATTGGGAATTGTTAATGGCAGCAAATAGAAAAATAAACGGCACCCATTAAACAGTTCCTTGCTATATAATTGTAAATTTTCAATAGGGTTTCATTTGGATTTCCCTTGTTTTTCAACTTCTCTTTGAAACAACAAGGATTTGTAATTTAGCCTTAACAATGGATTTCATCTGGACCATTTGTACACAGCTAGATGAGGAGGAGGAAGATGAGAAGCAACTACTACCAAGTACACATGATTATACCATTTTGTGGCCAGCCATCCTAAATGATGGTGGCTGCTCTTCCTTAGTTGGCAACACCACCAGTTGCTAATGTAAAGAAATATGCTTTCCACCATAACTCAATGAAGCTATGTCATGAGAAATTGATGAAACCTGATAGCAGCACACAGCAAGACTGGACGCTACACAGACATTATATTAAGATTTAGGTAGTTCGGTATTATAAAATATTCACCATGACTTGGGCTCCACAATCAATGTAGTGTTGTTAACAGAGGAGTCCAGAGAATCACTGAGCCCAACTTTCTCAGATGAATTTGAGTTACTGGAAATATGCAGAAATTAATGGGTTGAAGCCAGCCAATCTGCTGTATGCTTTTTTTCAGCAATTTATTTATCTAACACAGAGGAAATATCCATCAGTGTCCATAAGATTTCTAAGAAGGGATGATTTCTTTAGAAGAAGTCTGGTGTCTTCTGAAGAAACTAGCCTACATCTTGACAATGTTACAATTATGGGCCACTGGCTGACATTTCCTTTCTAAGCATTGTCTTAGCAAACTCAGTTACCTTTAAAGAAACTGATTAATTTCAAATCTATTCGAATTCCTGCTTTTAGTTATCCTGTAGGGTGAATTTCCTTAATTCAGTAGTGATGGATTTCTCAGTGACTTTTCACACCATCAGACATGCCATCATTCTGAATAAACTGAGCCAGGGTGTGGGATGCATTGTTTGACATATTCTGGAACCCTGTAGATGTGTTTAAATACACATATGTTTAAATGTATCTAGTGTATTTAGCTAAATGCATGTATTTAGCTCAGGCAAAAAATGCAATTTTTGCCCCACTGCCTATACCAATTACAGTAAGAGTTTCTGACAGCTTGTAAAACGCTGTTTTGGCACCATACCATGTGATTTACCAAAATGGTAACTCTGTGTCTTCAGTACAAATAAAAAGTGTGAGCAATCCCAAGTGTATGCTAAATAACTAAACATCACTAAATCATCTGAAGTTGTCCCAATTAACTATTCCCTCCAGCTAAGTAATGTTTGCCATTAATTATCATTAGTCTTCAGCTTGTTCCTAAGGAACCAGTTAGAGTCTAAATTAAATCTTAATTATATGAAGCATGCAGTTCAACCCACAAAAATATCAGGGCACATATACCCAGTCAATTAATTTTTAATAATAATGGTTCAACTATACAAAGTCTATTTTAGTCCTAGATTTTTGGTTAAAAATCCCCCCCCCCCACACACACACAATTCCCTGACAACTGAAGGCAACTTCTGATTATGTTCTGTGAAGCATTTGTCATAACTCAGGTACTCAATTTATGTCTGACAAAAGATTATGATTCCGTGATAATGGTCCTGTGATATGACAGAGTCAAAATAAATGACGAGCAGCAGTCCTTGTGCATATCATTTGTGTTCAGTAATTTGAATACAGACATCAGCTTGGAGAAAATATATAGATAAACAAATGGAAAGTTGTGGATGAGGCACATGGAATTTGAGGAGAACAAAAGCCACAAATCTACTCATAGGTGTGAGCTGTAGGCAAGCCCTGGTAGTAGGAGCTGCAGATTTCATATATACAGAGAACGATCAGTTGGGGAAGTCTGACATACGTTGAGTTTTCTGTCTTTCTGCTCCACAGTTAATATTTAAAATATAACATTCAGATTTCCTTTAGCTAAAACCTTTGTCTTTCTCCATAAGTAGAAAGGTGAAAAATCTATTTGGGATGCAATTAGGAAGCAGAGTCTCTATTCCATTCCTGCAAAGCCAACCTTGCCCACTGAACTTGAACAGGATTGTCTCCAAGTTGGAGGGGGTCCTTTCTGGAGGAACAGCTGGCTTAACCAGTAGCAGTGGCAAGTGACAACCGCAACCTTGCAATCAGCACCATTTTAATTGCTTCACGATAGCTCCAGGGACATTGTCTTTGCCTCCAAAGAGAGGTCACTGCAGCTTGGCAGGCTTGGCAGCTGCCCAGTGATGCTGTATTACAGTGTCAATCCTGTATCCTGGAAACGATTTGGTATTTCAGACTTGTGAACTACTGAGTCACAGCCAGACATCCATACATGGTGGCGTGCCAGCTACTCAGTTCAATTTCCCTTTGAATTCCACAGCAAGTAGCAACGCTAGACCTTTAGAGAGGTTAGCACTTGTTAGGGTTGTCCCGAATCTGATTCTCTGTGGTTAACAATGAAAAACAATTATCACTATATAAATGGCATGTTTGGCAGGAACTACAAGGGAGTGGGGCGTGTCATTCATAATCTGGTCACAGAGGATAAATTACTAGCACACAGGTTGCCAAGCAGTGCCATACCACACTGAGAAAAGAAGCAACTAAAATCATCTTGAGACAGTCTTCTGTCTTTGGGGCAAGAAAAAAAGGCAAAAGATTTATACTCTCTACAGAGAAATCCACTATATGAAAAAGAGGGTTGAAGGATAAATGGGGGAGAGGTTTTGCAAGCCAGAACTGGCAGACTAGGAAAGTATCATCTTATTGATTTTTTGCAAGGCTGAAATGAATGCTTGAGACAAGGAATTAGAAATCCTAAATATCAGCTTCATATCCTTACCTACAAATAACCATTGTGTGTCGAACTGGGAAGCAGAGCAACTCCTCTGGGCAGCACACACTTCAAACTCTTATTGAGCAAAATAGGTAACAAAGTACTTGGATATTATAGTGACATCCATGGAGATGACAGGGATTGGATTTCTGCTTTTTTATTGTTTTGTTTGCCCGTTTAAGATATTTCTTTCCTGTTCACTCCTAGACAAGCCAGCTTACAATACAAATCCAAGACACAGGGTGGGGTGGGTGCGTTAGTTAATTTCCAGCCAAAAAATTATTAGCAAATCAGTTGCCATTATTTGGGGGATTGACGTACAATTTTGTTGGTATGATCCTGGAGGACTCTGGGCTGTAGGTTGCTCATTTCTGGTTTAGAACCAGAGAATATCAATGGACAGATAGCCACACTTCTTGAGAGTAAATCCCACAGAAGCCAGCAAGATTTATTTCTGAGTATATATCTACAGATTGCATGGTATAATTTGGAATTTCCTGTCATCTGCTTAAATATGTCACTCCAGTCTACAATTATTTTCCAAAGGCCTCCTTTCACATAAGTAACCTTTCTATGACCTGTTACATTGAACTGGCTTAAAACAAGCAAATTCTATTTCAGAATATGGGAAAATTGTACCCAGATTCTCAAATACCTTAACATTTTCCCCCACTGTTAAAGGAAGATTGCTAATCAGCATTTGAGCATACCAAGTTGTACTTCCAATTTAAACTATTTCAGTATTTATGTCCTGTGAAAGTAAATTCATGGAAATTAGTTCTGATGCAAGGCACAGACAGACAGGGATTGCCAGCAGATACTTCTCAATAATTGACCAAACTGCAGGTTTTATGCTCCTTTGGGAAAAATCATGACAGTCAAGAAATACCAGATATTTCCTTCAGATAGCGTATGTGTTAAGATACTGGAATGTTAATGGCTGTGCATTAAAGCAACTCTGCTATCTTATGACTTCATATGACAAATTCCCCAGTTTATACTTCCACCATATTTATTTCTTAGATTTTGATCCTGTCTTTATTTTTGGTCACCTCAAGGCAGCATACATACCTAATGCTCCCCCCTCCTATTTTCACAAAGCTACCACCCTGTGAGGTGGGTTGGGCTGGTAGAGAGTGACCACCCAAAATCACCCAAGGACTTCTTCCCAGACACCTTCCTAAAAATTTGATAAACCTGTACCAATAATTTCAGGCCGCAGATGAGGCTCGCAGGATGGAACTCCACTACCCCATTGACAAAACAACAATTTCAGCATGTGAGCTTGAAAGTGGAGATAGAAAAATAATCAGAGAGGGAAGGAATTTCTATATTCAGTGAGTATGTGGGAAAATAATCTCCCCATTGCATTTTTCACCAATCTGGTAACGTGTGAAAGATCGCTAAACGCGATTTTCGACATAAATTGTATTTGTACAATTATACAGACAAGAAGGGAGCCTTCTATCCAGCTCCTAGCATTTACGCGGCTTTGATTGGCTCGCCTTTCCAAGTTCTTCCACACGCTTGGGTGTGGAGAAAGGCCTGGAGGCGAAGGAGGAGCCGAGGATTAACGGGAGGGACCTAAAAGAGGGAGAGAGAGAACACACAAATGCTAACCGAGGGCTCATATGAAAAATAAACAAAGAAATCTGCTATCCCGTGTCGGAATGCCCAGACACCAAAAATGCCTTTTTTCCCTTAAGACAGATCCACCCAGTCCCGCAGGAGGCTTGGGATAGGAAATATTGCAATCCAACCCGCCTGGCCTCTTGGCTGTTTTTTTGAAAACGGGGGCGGGGGGGGGAGCCAACATCCGATATACCGAGTCTTAAAAGCCATTCAGGCTTGCGTTCCAGAATGCCGTGAAACCAACGTTCTGGAACGCCGGCCTTGAGTTCTTAATGTAGTCGCCTCCGGGCCTGAGACTAGCTTACCTGCCCGTCGCTATCGAAGGGGAGGGAGTCGTCTCTTTGGGGCGAAGCCGAACTGCACCGATTGCCCTCCGAGTCGCTGGGGGAAGGCGGAGTAGTGCTGGCCGAGGCGGCGGTTCCATGAGGCTGATAATCTGGGTAGGGGTTATTGAACGCCCTCTCCTCCATCTCCGCTTCACTTCCCAATTGCACCTTCAGTCGCTTGGACATGCCCTCTCCCATCTCAGCCTGCCCCCTGCCCTCCCACCGTCGCACGGCGAGCCAAGCAGGACAAACTCCCCAGCCAGCGATAATAACAGCAACGCGCTTTAACGGTCGCAAAACGGTGGCTGCTATCAGCGCCTAGAAAGGCAGCCGCTGTTGCACACCAGCCCAAAATTGGGGGGGAGGGGGGGGTCGCCAGGTGATGAAGTTATCTCTCAGGGAAGGTTGAGAAACGCGACACGCCTCATCGCGGAGAGAAAATCAAACCAGGGTGGGTATCTAAAACCCTTAGCAGTTAAGGATTAAACAGTTACGCGAGTCCTAGCCAATCTGCAAGGTGACAGGACCAACGTGAGACCATTGTTAGTCGTTTCCTCTCCATTCCGGTCCTAAACCCAGCCAGCTTTCAGTGTGTGTGGGCGCATGTGTAAATAATAATTGGTTCCCACCCTACTCCCGGGTTAAGGGGTAGAGAAACACCACACCCTCCCAATGATGGGGCAGTTTCCTGGAAATTTGGCAAGAAAATACAGGAGAGCTATCCTTCTTCCTGCGGCACACCTGGATGGACAGATTAGGGAATCCTCTGGGGCTCGAGGGCATCCCCCAATCCCCCCTTTCTGATGGTCATCCTCCTGTTTCCCTCCCCCACAACCGAGAGAGGTCAGGCGGCCGCTGCCGCCGCCGCCGCTGCTGCAGCACTTATCAGCAAGCTCCGAGGCTCCAAAACAGGGCTTCTGCCTCCTGCCTCTCCGCAACCGAACGTGATAGTCTCCAAAATCATTTTAGATCAGGATCATCAGGATCAGCAGGGGGAAAGAAAACCCGAAGAGTAGACAATAGATGAGAAACTCCTTGTGCAGGGACATCCGAACCCTCTGGCTGGCAGAGACCATCAGGAGAAGAGAAGACAAAAACGGCCCCTTTGAAGCTCTGGTGCTCTGTTCTCTTGCTGGTATTCTGTCCTCTTCTGCTCTGGCAAAGGTACTTTGCAGTGGGCATTCACAGTCCGTCTAGCCCAGGCAGAGCCTGATCCACCTTCAACTGATCTGAATACCAGTATAAATACAACCAAAGAAGGATTGGAGGGAGAAGACAGGAAAATCACAGAGGTGGTGGAGCAGCCACTGATGGTTACTAGCCCTCTTCCCACCCTGGCCTGCAATGTTTTCCTGCAGCTTCTGTCTTCCTTTGTGGCTGTGAAGTCAGTATGTGCCTGCCTTGTAGTGCCAGCGAATGAACACACAAAATCAATCGTAAATGACAGAGACTCAGGAGGTGGGAGGGCCTCAGCCAGCTTGCCTCACAGCTGTCAAGAATCTAGAGAAACAATCCTTCCCAACAGACACGTACTCACACATCTATAGGCTGCACATTTGTTTTGCAAAAGGATGTTGAAGATGACAACATGAGTTTAAAGTGCAATCCTACATATTGGCAGACTTACTCAATGTAAACAAATGTAAATTTTTGCAGCTATAATTTCATTTAAAAAAAAATGAACAAGGGCGTCCTTTGTCAACCTATGTTGGACTTCAACTCCCAGGCTTCCCGTGGAAAGCTATGCAGGTTAGAAATTCCAAAAGCTGCCATGGAGGGCACCTGGCTGGGGAAGTGATTGGAAGGATTGTCTCTCAACCATATTGCTTTACACCCCCAGATTTCTAGAGACGTATCTGATTTATGAATATATAAGTGATTTGTACAAAGCAACAGGGTGCTGGCCTATAAAGCAGGGACATTAATAGAAATACCTTTGTGTTAAAGATATAACGCATCCCTGTTTAATTCCCAACATTTCTCCACCAGCACCTCTGCCACTGTAACTCCTAATGCTGCTCTACTTGTATTTATGCTTTTTCCTAAACCTGCCAGCATAAACATTATCACATCCAGATCTCTGTCTCCATGCTCTGCCCACATATCTCTATACAAGAAGTTGCCTTATATTACTTATAATAGTATATTATAAAGTGATTAGTACATCAAATCTTGCATGATCTCCTCTGACCGATAGCAGGTTTTAGGCAGAGGTTCTTCATCTACTTAAACTTTTTTAACTGGAGATATTGGGGCCTAAACTTTGGCTCTTGCTCCTATAATCCTACTCATATTCTTGCCAATCATTATTTATTTATTGGATTTTGACTCCGACTTACACAATTTAAAAGCTTGGGCTATGAGAGAGTGACTCATTCAAAATTGCCCAGTGAGCTTCCATGGCTGATAGTGGACTTAAACCTGAGTCTCCCCAGTCCTGGGTCAGTTCCTTGTCCACTATACCACATTCCAGTCCGGATCTAGGTTGTGATCAAGATGACCCAAAGAATGGCAGTCTCTTGTATATTATGAGAACAATGCTACCTTTTGTAGCTAACCCTTGTAAAGTACACATAAGTGCTATTGCAGTGTGACTGTAATTGTTCATCATAATCCAAAATGATCATTCTGTCAAGAAGCCTACTGATGCCTGAAAACCTAATTAGCTCCCCCCCTCCATTGGTGGAAGAAGGAACAATGTCATCAAATGCGGCTGCTGTGGTCTTGGTATGATGAATGTACACTAATAGGAAGCAATAAGGCTGAAGGCTGCTTGCTGAGTTTCAACCTATTTTTCAGCTCCCTATCAGTCACATGTTTCCATTTTCTTGTTATCTGAATCATAATGTGTTTCAAGTTCCTATCATGAGTAATAGCCCTAATAATAATATAATCCAACAAGGCCCTAAAATTTATCAACTCTGCATTTTATAAATCATCCTTTTGAGCATTGTGTTTTGGAAACTTGGAGAGCTGCAAGCAATGAATGTTGGAATAGGAACAATATAAAACTTGTTCTGAATCTTACTGAATCCTAAGAAAAGATTACCAAGCCCATTCTGATAGTTATGGCAATAAATAAGCTATTTTCTGCCATTGCTGCATCCTTACAGTGATCTTTCCAGTTGGTGCAGAAAGTTTCTCAAACTCTGCTCTATCTGTAGATGCTTAAGATCATGATTAGCAAAATTATTCACCTCTATTTTAACTTGGACACCCTTTTTGCTTTGGTCAGTCTTTACATGTGCTTAGTTTGGAATTGACTTGACAAGTTTCAAATGTTAAGATTCAGTGCTTAGATGAGGAGAGTTGTAACCTGTGTATGTGCCCCTTACGCTTCTGGTTTGTTACATTGAAAAAGGAGGGACTGTCTAGCTGGATTTGGGAAGCAGCCAATACTTCTCAGAAAGGAAATGACCTTGGCTTCTCTATATCAGGCGGTAGTATGACTGGTTGATTTATATAATACATTTATATGGCCGCCCATCTCACATGCATGATTCTGGGTGGTTAACAGTAAAAAAAGAATAAAAACAGAGCAAAAAACAACCAAAATTAAAAACAGCATAAATAACATAAAATGACATAGCAGCCAAGAAGACTTATGACATCCCATATTTAATACAACCATGACCAAGAAATGGGCAAAACTATCAGGGCCTCAGGCTTGATGGCAAAACCCAGTTTTTAATGCCTTGTGAATGATCGTACCAATAGAAGAGAATATGTGTAGTTCAGGGTATACAGTGGCATGCGCTGCCAGTGTTGGTGGGGGTGTGGATTTTGTTTTATTTTATTTTTCCCCTCTGGTAGTTCTTTGATTAGGGTATTACTGCTGATTGTATGCCTGGTGATAATCTTGGTGTTAATTTCTCCTTATCTGGGTGATGATTGGTGGTGAGGAGAAGTTCTGCCACTGTATATAAACAGAGAACAAACCTCATTCCATTCTAGCACTAAAGATGTTACCTAGCCAGGTAACGAAATATTTGCAAGAAAACAGCCAAGCTCAGAGAACTCCCAGGACTCCACAGTGAATGATTGTTCCTGAAGATACTTGCCTTAAATAAAGAAAAGCTCAATTGTTAATAAATGTTGCTAGCATCTCCACACCTAGTGAGATCCTAAGCAGGCTTTATAAATCTAAATCCCTTGGACTTGGATCTAAATCCCTTTTGAATTTCATGCTGAAGTTTTCTTGATTGTCCTGATCTTGTGCTAGGAGAGTCTTGATTCTCATGGACTTCTCAAAAGCCTTTAGAACCATTGACTGTGATAGAAGTTCTGGATCCTTTTTGAACTTTTTCCTTAAGAATTGGGTAAGGTGGACCATACCCAGAGAGTAGCAGGGTGCTTCTTGTTGCACTGTGATTCTATGCCTGCAGTTGTTGCTGATGCCTTGGATGAGAATGCCCCCCGGGGCTAGAAACACACACTGCACATATCAGTCATTCAATGAATGAGTTTGGCAACCATGTGTCTTTGAGACCAGTCCTGTGGTCTCGTGCACTTCTTGGACAAATCCTGGGAAGAAGGATGGACTTACAGTATTATAATACTATATAAGCAAGCCAGCTTCGCATTCCCCCAAGATGGCACTGGGATTTGCTATCATTATCATCATCATCATCATCACCACCACCACCACCACCACCACCACATTATAATAACATTTTCTAATAGGGGATCAATCTTATCCAGTGTTAGTGCTACTGACCAATAAGCAGTACAGCCTCCTTACCTTCTGAAATAGAAGCTGACTGAAATTTTCCATTGGGCAAAGCAACAGAGATGTGTGCAAAGGGGTTGCTTTCATGATATTATTTCAAAGAAAGATTTACTGGGCTTTCCTGAACATCACAGTCCCTAGGGCTCCTGTTGTTTATAGCTGTAATCAATGGAGATGCAAAACAATCTTGCTTCTTTTTAACTTCAGCTTCTTAAAAAATGTAGGCTGTTTCCTTTCGTCTGCTATAGTTTTCCCAGGATATCCATGCTACGTGTCAAAATTTTATTTTGCTTTTCCTTCTAAATTCATGAAAGAAAGGGCTGCAATTGATATACCACCCAACATTGGGGAAAGATTTCCCTGGTCTGGTGTCCCCTTGTCGATCAAGCACTAGCTGTTGAGTTCAGGAGGACCCCAAAGTCATGGACCTGCTCCTTCAGGGGGAATGTGAACCAATCCAGAATTGGGACAAGAGCTGACATTTTGCCAAACGGTTTATGAAGAAACGGTACCTCCAACTTGCCAGGATTCAGCCTCAGCCTACTTTGTCTCACCCAGATCCCCAAAGAGACTTTCCCTAAGAGGCATTGTAAAAACTAACTCTGAGACCTCAGATTGCCGACTCTTACCATACATCTTGCCAATAAAAACTCATTCCTCTTTTAATATTATTCTTGGTCTTCCTTATTGATCTCTGCTGTTGGTGGATATACAAGCACTGTGTATGTTTAAAAACAAAAGAAAAGGATGCCAGGTTTGTTCAGCAGAACATGCCATTTGTTCCTTGGAAAGGCTTCTTCACCGAAGTAGTTCTCCATACTGAGTTTACAGAGCTTAGTTTAGCTGACTTCCAGTGCAAAGCTATTTCCTGCCTGGTTGCAGCCAGGAAGAGCAATACTAGCTTTGCCAGAGACCTAAGGAAAAGGCTAACGGTGGCTGTAATATAAACAATTCAAGCAGGGGTGTGCTGCCAATTTATTAACAAAGCCCTCTCCCAGCAGAGATGGTGGGAGAGGGAGGTGGAGGAAAGGCATTATCGTTGGTCCAGAAAAACCAAAGGCA